AGGGGAGGAAGAAAGAAAAGAAAAGAAAAGAAAAGAAAAGAAAAGAAAAGAAAAGGAAGGAAGGAACAAAGGAAGGAATGAAGGAATGAATGAAGAAAGAAGACAGACAGACAGAGTTTACAAGTGAGCCAGACCTCAAGCAAGTTAGCTTACCTCTCTGGACCTTAGTGTCCCTGATACGGGGCTGGGACCATCCTGCGCCCCAAAGGGTGAGTTCCCGTGAGTTCGAATGGAAGTAAGAGCAGTGACCAGGGAGGGGCTCATGCCACAGTGCTTATGTGTATGTGAGGCTCTGGGACTGATATTCAGCATGACACACACATGCACACACACATACACACACTTACATACACACACTCACACACATTCACATACACACACAAGCACACACTCACATGCACACACATACTCACATTTACACACATGCACACACACATACACACTCATACACACAAGCACATATACACACATGCACACACTCATACATACTCTCACACACACTCACACATTCACATACACACACTCACATGCACACATGCACACACACAAGCACACACACATGCACACATACACACATACACACACATGCACACACACTCACACACACACTCATACACACAAGCACATATACACACATGCACACACTCACACACTCACATACACACTCACACATTCACATACACACTCACATGCACACACGCACACACATACACACACATACACACACTCATACACACATTCACACACACTCACATGCATGCATACACACGCACATTCAGACACATTCAGACACATCTGTGTACACTCACATACCCACACATTCACACATACATTCATTCACACACACACACCCCTTTGTGAACACTCTCGCATTCACACACACACATTCGTGCACACACGCACAGAGGGGGGCAGGCAGCACAGACAGGTGCCCCACACCGTGAGCGCCCACCCTGCCCATCCCCTTCTTCCATCTCTCCCCTCGTCTCTTGTCCCCCGGCTGCAGGACCCTGAGGGGCCGGTTTGGGTGGTGGTTTTCCAGAGGCAGGAGGTGAGTGCTCCCCTGAGTGCTCCCTCAGGGCACACGCGTCCTGGCTCCTGTGAGGTGGCAGCTGTGGCTCTGGGCACACTCAGGGACCTGGAGCTGCTCTTGCTCAGTTGGAGCTGGGGACCGGGAGACGGCTCTGCGGCGAGGAACGGGGCCGGCTGCCACTCCAGGCCCACGACCCACCCGGCGCGCCCCCCCCTGCGGTCCCTGGCACTGAACATTTAAGTCCATGCTCAGGCCAAGCTTGGGACCCCCCTGCATAGCTGCATCTCTGCTCCCCGCTAATAGAATGCTCTAGCTAGGGCGTGGGGTCTTCCAGAATATTCCGGGCAGTGGAAGACAAACCATGCGATGTGGGGGACCCAGGAAAACGGACCCTTAAACATGGAGGAAACGCCTGAGCCCCGTCCAGCAGGTGGGCGTCCTTGTTCCTCCCCAAATGAGGATTTGTGGGGGTCATGTGAGCAGACTGGGGGATCCCCCCAGAGTTCCAGAAAGTTCCTCCATCTGCACGGTTTGGCTGACGTGGGGAAGAGACCCATAGCGCCCCTTACAGGCACCTGCTTGTACTTTTATTTTTTATTTAGTTTTTGCTTTTTGGGTCACACTCGGCGATGTGCAGGGGTGACTCCTGGTTCATGCACTCAGGAATATCTCCTGGCGGTGCTCAGGGGACCATATGGGATGCTGGGAATCGAACCTGGGTTGGCCGCGTGCAAGGCAAACGCCCTCCCCGCTGTATTATCAGTCACTGATTAAGGGAAAAAATTCAACCCCTCTCTCTCTCTCTCTCTCTCTCTCTCTCTCTCTCTTGCTTTTTGGGTCACACCCAGCAATGCTCAGGGGTCACTCCTGGTTCTGCACTCAGGAATCACTCCTGGCAGTGCTCGGGGGACCATATGGGATGCTGGGAATCGAACCTGGGTCAGCTGCGTGCCAGGCAAAGGCCCTACCCACTGTGCTATTTCTCCAGCACAACCTGCTTGTACTTTTAAAGAGGGCTGGGGAGCCCGCACACATAGGAAAGACTCCTGGACCCAGTTGGTCACCACTTCACCCAGAGGACCTGATCTGAGGCTCCTCTGGTCAGTGCCCCACGGTGGCCTATGCCCAGAATGACCACCAGGAGGCAGCAGCACCCCACCTTCTTCATGCTCTGCTGAAGAAACTTGTCAGGTTTGAACAAATCCCAGTGCCCTTTCCTCTCCCTTTGTCGCTGTTGCTGGCTGACTGCGGAAGTCACACACGCTCAACTGATGCTTGGGAGGCACCTGGTGTGCTCGCTGGGGTGGTCACACAGTGCTCACTGGGATCATACTCCTGGCTTTAGTGCTCACTGCATGACTTTAAAACATGCCAATAAAATGAGTCTAAAGGGCCAGAGTGATAGTACAGTGGTTCGGGTACTTGTCTTGCACATGGCCAAGCCGGGTTCAATCCCCAGTATCCCATGTAGTTCCACCCCCCCCCCCCCGCCCTGCCCAGCCCCACCAGGAGTGATCCTGAGCACAGAGCTAAGCCCTGGGCACTACTAGGTGTGCCCCCCCCACACACACACACACAAAAAGCTACGAAAGAACAACAAATAAAATGAGTTTAAGAAGAACAACCCCCATCGAAATATAGAAGTTTGCTCAAATTCCAGGGCTGAGGATATGGATGACGCGCAGGGATCGGGGGCTCTCCAGCAGTGCTCAGGAAGCCAGAGGCTGCTCCCCGGGAACTCGGCCAGCTGTGTCGTATAGAGTCCAGTGCCCTCGCCCGCCAGGCATTGCTAAAGGGAGGGCATGCAGAGCTGCGGGTCAAACTGAGGGTCCCGAGCGTGCGAGGCGTGCACCCCCGTCCCTCAGCTGTCTCCCGAGCTCCAAATCAACTTCAGTTTAAAAACTCCCCTGCCCGCTCTCAGCTGCGGATGCCGTGGTTGTTGTGATGGGAGGCTGTGCATCTGGCAACAGCGATCACCAGGGGACGCACTTTAGTTGTGACATACATGATCGCTAGGGAGCGCACTCCATTCCTTGTGGTATACACACATGATCACCAGTGGTTGCACATCGATTTAGTGTGGTGCTTGCTGGGGTTCCACCCTTTCCGGGCAGTATTCACCCACACCCACTGTAAATTGCTCTGGCTCTGGGATCAGAGTTAACACACACACACACACACACACACACACAGCACATATGCTGGTACCAGGGGTCGAACTCATAACCTCATGCTGGCAAGGCAGCACTTTAGCCATGGGGCCATCTCCCGCCCCTCAATTTTTTATTTTTTTATTTTATTTTTGCTTTTTGGGTCACGCCTGGAGATATACAGGGGTTACTCTTGGCTCTGCACTCAGTAGTTACTCCTGGTGGTACTCAGGGGACCACATGGGATGCAGGGAATCGAACCCAGGTCGGCCGCGTGCAAGACAAACGCCCTCCCCGCTGTGCTATCTCTCCAGCCCCTCAGTTTTTTCACTTAATCACTTCACTTCTACTACTACTTCCACTACCCAGCCGTCGCCACACTCCAGGACGCTTTCCGGACGCGCGCAGCCGCAAGCGGCCGTGCCACACATCATAAGACACTAAATCCCCATCTTCCGGAATTGTCGTACCATATTTGATAGGGTTCAAATATGGTAACACCTACAATGGTGATTAGAGGTCGCCCCAAAAGCCTCTATCCCTCTAGGAAAGACTGGCAAGCTACCGAGAGTATTCCGCCCGCACGGAAGAGCCTGGCAAGCTATCCGCTGTGTATTTGATATGCCAAAACCAGTAACTACAACTGGTCTCTCAGTTTTTTAGTTTTAAACAAATTATACTTAGATCACAGAGGAGGATGTCACTATTCCGTAGAGAGGGTTTGAAACATGAGGCCACCCCCAGTGGTGCTAGAGCCCCTGGTTCACTCTTGACCGTTGTCAGTCCAGTGACGCCCTGAAGTTCAGGGGTCCACCCTGGCCACATGCTGCTCAGATGAGGCGGGCCGGGGCTGTGAGAGCCTCCTCAGCAGCGGCCAGGCCCTGCACTGCCGGGATTGCACACAGCCTCACTTCTTGGGCTCTCCCAGCCGGGTTTATCATCCCCGATAACAAACGCGGGCTTTCAAACAGGATGTCGCACGGGGGTGGTTTATTGAGGCCCGACCCACGTCCTCAGGATGCGTCCCTCACACTCCGCTTTCAGACCCAGATGACGGTGTCTCGAAGCTCATGTGGGGATGTGTCTGGCCCAGCCCCGCACCCCTCAAAGGGTCCTTCTTACCAGTGGACATCCTGTTTCTCCTCAGACTTCTACTGTGGTTTTCAAAAAGCACCCAGAGGCCCTGGATTCTGCCTGGGATGGGGTGTGTGCATGCGTGCATCCGTATGTATGTGAGCACACGTGTGTGCATATGTGCACATGTGTGCATGCTTGCATGTGTGCTTCCATATGTATGTGAACACACGTGTGTGCATATGTGTCTGCATACGTGTGCGTTTGTGAGCTCGCGTGTGGGCTGTGTGTGAGCACATGTGCGTGTACACACGTGTATGTGTGTGCGTGTGTGAGCGTGCACACGTGTGTGTGATGCATGTGTGTGTGCGTGCGTGTGGAGGTGTGTGTGGTGGGAGCATTCTTAGATGTCACTAGCCTGACTCGGGTCCTTGTGTGAGCACGTCTTCGGAGACATTCTCACATGGCTCCCGGGGAGGAGGCAGAGGGTGAGCATCTCCTTCAAGAGGATCAGTTTCCACCAGCTTCTCCCCAACCCAGTGATGCAGGGGAGGGTGTCTGGGAGACTGGCCGGTGAGCACGAGCGAGGCGAAGAGCAAATGAGAAGATTCTAGAGAGCTTGACCCGTCCTCCAGGCTGTTGGAGGAACAGAGCAGACACCCCCCTGTGTGTCCGGGTCCAGTGGCGGCTGACTGAACCTTCTTCAGGCGTCCGTCTCCAGGCCTGCCGGGGTCAGCCAGGCTCTAAAAGGCAGCGTTGGGGGCTCCGAGGCCGCTGGGTGGCGGGCAGGGCCCGGCCAGACACAGGCGGCGCTGAGGCTCCAGGCGGCAGAAGCGATTCTGGTTTGACACTCGGGTGGCCACTCCCAGCCCACAGGTGACGGAGCAGGGCCCCCAGGCGGTGCTCCACTCCTGGCAGGGTCCTCCGGCGGGCAGGGGTGCCCGGAGGGCTCCTGGGGGAAGAGAGAGGGGACAGCAGGCAGCGTCAGGGCCCGGCGGGCGCTGCTGACTGTGCAGCGTGGGCCAGGTGGCATGACCCCTCTGAGCCTCCTCCCACATTCAGGAAGCAGCGAGGATGGTGCGAGCCGGACAGGACAGCGGCCCGGGGAAGGCGATTCCCTCACATCTGTCCCCTCCAGGAGGGGGTGGCCCGCACGGGGTCCCGCTCCGAGGCCGGAAAGGGCAGGAGCGAGAGGGGCTCCGGGACCCCCAGCCTCAGTTTAGCTGTCCTTCTCCTGGGGGTTTCTTGCCAGGGTTGCAGTCCCTGGAAGATGCTGGCCATGTCTGGAGACAGGGGTGCACAGCGGAGGGGCGCAGGCCCTGGGACAGCCCCCAGCTGGGAAGCACTGGGTGGGAGGCGGGAGATTGGGAAGGGCACACAGGGCCGGGTGTGGGTGTGGGTGGGGTGATCCCTGGGCACCGCAAGGAGTGATCCCTGAGCACCTCCAGGTGTGGCCCAAACCCTCCTCCACACACAAAGAAGTGTGGAACCTGCCATGAATTTGAGAACTTGTTCAAATATTAGTTCCCTCCACGCTTCCCCCACCCCCGCCACCAATCTCAATGTTTAGCCATTTGTGATTCGTTTATTTTCTAATTTGGGGGCCTCATCAGGATGTGCTCACGCCATCCTTCCCTGTGGCACCAAACCCCAGGCCTCATGCATGCAGACCAAGTCTCAGGGCCAGGGAGCTCAGTGGGCTGAGCACATGCTTGGCATGTGAGGGGCCTGGGGGCCATCCTCAGCATCACTTGGTCACCGGATCACTGGGCACAGAGTTGGGTCAGCCTCTGAGCAAACAGAGGCATCAGAGGCCGGTGCTGGCACAGGCACCCTCCCTGCAACCCCTACTGGCGATTCTACTTTACCTAACTTTGCTTTGTTTTGTTTGGGGGGGGCCCAGACCCACTGGTGCTCAGAGCTTCCTCCTGGCTCTGTGCTCAGGGGTCTCTCCTAGCAGGGCTTGGGGTGCCAGGATCAGACACGTGCAAGGCAAGTGTCCTGCCTGCTGTCCTATCTCTCCAGCCGCTCTATTTCATTTATTTATTCATTTATTTTTTGCTTTTTGGGCCAACCCAGCAATGCTCAGGGGTTACTCCTGGCTCTGGACTCAGAAATTACCCCCGGTGGTGCTCAGGGGAACCTATGGAATGCTGGGGATCGAACCCACGTCGGCTGCATGCAAGGCAAGCGCCCTATCCACTAGACTATCCCTCCAGCCCTCTCCAGCCACTTTATTTGTGATTTTAATGACAAGGGAAAACCTCGCTATGATGCACCCCCCCATGCCCCCACCTCCCCCGACCCGCGCTCACCTGCGGCCGTGAGGGGCTGCACCACCGGCTGCAGAGCCTGGTCACACACCCACTCGGGGCAGCACCTGCCAGGGACGGCGACCCGCCTGGGGTGCGGACAGTCCCAGCTGGGCAGCCGCACGTCCTCACTGCACAGGGGCACGCAGGTCACACCACTGTCCTCACAGCGACACAGGGTCCCGCAGTGCGGCCGGAAGGTCTCCCCGTCCTGGTACTGGCGGCCGTCCACCTCGCAGCCGTCACCTTCTGGCCCTGGGCAAGGAGAACCCAAGCCCGTCAATGACCCCCACTCTCCCGGGGGCTCCCCAGCCCCTTCCCCATGCCAGCCCAGGGCCGGCCAGCAGTGGAGCCCATTTATCAGGGACCTTGGCCAGGTGATGGCCCGTCTTCTACCTCAGTTTCTTTTTTTGTTTTGTTTTGGGGCCACACCCAGTGACCCTCAGGGCTTACTCCTGGCTCTGCACTCAGGAATCAGTCCTGGTGGGCTCAAGGGACCATCTGAGATGCCTGGGATTGAACTCGGGTTGGCCCTGCACAAGGCAAGCGCTCTCCCTGCTGTGCTATTGCTCTGGTCTCTGTGGCCTCAGTCCTTTTATCCGCAAAATGGGCTGCAGCGACCTTGCTTTGTGCTCAGAGGTCACTCTTGACGGCTCCAGGAACCATGTGGGAGGTTGGGATTGAATCCAGGCCGGCCACGGGTGAGGCTAGCCCCCTCCCCACCACGCTGCTGTCTTTTTGCTCCCTTCTTTTTTTTTTTTGCTTTTTTTGGGTCACACCCAGCAACTCTCAGGAGTTACTCCTGGCTCATGCACTCAGGAATTACTCTTGGCAGTGCTTGGGGGACCATATGGGATGCCGGGGATCGAACCTGGGTCTGTCGCGTGCAAGGCAAATGCCCTACCCACTGTACTATCGCTCCAGCCCCTGCTCCCTTCTTCTTAACACAGTGGGTCCTCCTGACCCCTCGCCGGGATTCATCCCCCACCCCTCATGTTTGTTCTTATACCAGCAGACACGTGCCAGCATGATGCAAAGGTGGGAAGAGGTGACTTGGGGAAAGTTAAACTTCGGGGGCTGGAGCGATAGCACCGCGGGGAGGGCGTTTGCCTTGCACACGGCTGACGCGAGTTCGATTCCCAGCATCCCATATAGGGTCCCCCCGAGCACCACCAGGGGCCATTCCTGAGTGCAGAGCCAGAAGGAACCCCTGCGCATCACTGGGTGTGACTCAAAAAGAAACGAAAAAGGAAAGAAAATGAAACTTTGCTCTCCAGGCCTACATCAGGCATTTTCAAAAGGAGCACAGCCACGTCCTTTGGGTTCTAAAACTGTGGCTCTCAAGTGGGGGTGAGTTTGCCCCCCGGTGCTCTTTGGCAAAGCGAACAGCTCTGCTCTGAGATTCACCCCAGGTCAGAACAATCAGAACAGAGGAAGCTGCCACCTGTGAGGGGCGGCGGGGGGGGGGGGGCTCCCCAGGAAATGGACTTCAAACTGTGGTCCGAGGGCTCCCAGGTCTGGGAGGGGCTGGCCAGGAACGTTCCCATTCATGCCCATTTGGGCCTGTCTGGAAAGAGGCTTGGGAAGCCCATCGGGAAACTACCGCCAGCCTTATTGTGGACGAGGGGAGTAACGGGTCTGAAAGTACCAACTCGTAGGACCACTGTGAGGCTGCTGTGGCCGGTACTGAGTGGGGCTCCGAAGCCCTTGAGCTGGGAGTGATGGTTTGAAAACCCCGGAGGGCTTCCCAGAGGGAGGAGCCATTTAAGTGGACAGAAATTTGGACACGTGGAAATGGGGGAGGTTGGTGACAAGGGACGCACCGTCCAGGGGAGAGCTAAGAGAGGAGAGGGCCCACGGAGCCCTGGGTGGAAGGAGGGGGACCCCTTCTTTTGGACGCCAGACCCCTGCCCCCGCCTCTGCCCTCCCAGCCCGCCCCTCAGCAGCCCCCAAACCTGCTTACAGAGACACACGGCCCCTCGCGCCCCGGAGTCGGCGCCTCGCACACACTCCAGGCCCTGGCTGGGGTCGCAGACGTGGAGCCGGTCGCAGGACTCCCCGAGCTGCCGCGCACACACCCGGCAGCAGCCGCAGCCGTCCAGCACCAGGGGCACCCCAGGCAGGCATCGGGGCGCGGGCCAGGGGCAGGCGCACGGGCTGGGGCACCGCTGGGCACGTGCCTGCTGAGAGAGGGGACAGAGAGGGACGGCGCTCAGCCACGCTCTGACGGCGGCCCCGCACCCCTCTGCCAACCTGGGCAGTGTGTGTGTGTGTATGTGTGTGTGTGTGTGTGTGTGTGTGTGTGTGTGTGCGCGCGCGCGCGCGTGTGTGCGTGCGTGAGGTCCACCCCAGAGCCACCGGCCAGCCCTGACCCCCCTGAGAGGCAGGAGCAAGGGCTCGAGTTCCAGACTGTGCCCCCATCCGCCTATTTTTTCGGGGGGTTCACATCCGGCAGTGCTCAGGGGTCACTCCCGGCTCTGCAATGAGTAGTTACTCTTGGTGGTATACGGGACAGTGCTCAGTGGAGGCGGCCGCCGGGGGGCCAGGTTAAGACCTAGGGTCACAAACGGAGCCTCGCCGACGCGGCCTTCCCCCAGCCCTGCCTGCTCGGGGGTGCTGAGGTGTCTGTTTTGGTTCTGTTTGGTTTTGTGTGTGCTGTGTGGTTGGGAGCTGGCTGCTGACCCTCTCTGAGCCTGGCTTGACTGAAAACGGGGCGTCCTCATTGGGTGGCTGGGCAAGCTAGGCAAGGCCAAGTGTGCATCTGAGAAACGTCCCGAGCATTTCTGGGGAGAAGGTCGTTATTCCGGGGTCTCCTATTCCTTCCCGCCCCGTGTCCCCCCATCCCACCCGGGGACCCCGCTATCTCCAAGGCCCTGAGGCTGAGCTTGTGGTTCGCTCCCAGGCCGAGCTCGGGGCTGCCCTCTCCCCGTGTCTAAAGAGGGTGCTGGGAGCGGAGGGGGCTAAGTCCTCTTTGGAGCCCTGGCCGTGTTCCGGTCCCGCTTCCAAAAGGTCTGCCCACCCCACCCGGGGCGTTGCGGCTCAGAGACGGCCGGGAACAGTCTGAGTCACACAGCACAGCTGGCCAGAGGCAGGGCTGCGCCCAGGGGACCTGGTGACGTCACCCCCCACCGTGCCCGGAGTCGGGCCGGCGCCCCCTTACCTCGAACAGGAGGCCGAGGAGGAAGAAGGCCAGGAGGTGGGTGGACGGTGCGCCCCGCATGCCACTCTCCCCCGCGGAGCCAGCCTGGAGCTCGGAGGCAGGACCTGTGAGTCTTTGTGTCCCGGAGGCTGTGAGACCGTCCTCAGCATCACTCACGCACTGACTCACACACACTGACTCACACACACACACTGACACACACACTCTGACTCACACACACTTTGACACACACACTGACTCACAAACACACACACTGACTCACAAACACACTCTGACTCAAACACACACACACACTCTGACACACACACTCTGACTCATACATGCACTGACACACACACACTGACTCACACACACTCTGTCTCACACACACTCTGATTCACACACACTGACACACACACTCTGACTCACACACACACTGACTCACAACACACACTCTGTCTCACATACACACAAATACTCTGACTCACACACACTAACTCACACACTCTGAGCCCCACACACACACTGATACATCCATAAACTCACACTGACTCACACACATGCACACTCTGACTCAAATACACACTCACACACATCCATACTCTCACAGTGACTTGCACACACATGCACCCATACACTTTCACACTGATTCACACACACATTTTACACTGCCTCAAACACTCACACATTCATACACTCACACTGACACACAAATACACTCTCACACTGCCTCACACTCACACATATACACTCACACACATCCATACACTCAACTGACTCACACATACACTGCGCCACACACACTGCCTCACACACATAACATACTCTCACACACTGACACACCCTTGCACTCTCACACTGCCTCACACACACTACCTCACACAAACACACTGCCTCACACATGTAGTGTCACATGCACACACTACTTCACACACTGCCTCACACACACTACCTCACACATACACACTGCCTCACACACACACTACCTCACACACACTGCCTCACACACACATGCTGCCTCACACATGCACTGCCTCACATACACACACACTGCCTCATACACACACTGCCTCACACGCACAGACTGCCTCACACATGCACTGACTCACACACTGCCTCACACACACTGCCACACACACACACACACACTGCCTCACGCGCATCAGACCCTCCCACGCTGACACACCCTGCTCTCTCACACTGCCTCACACACATACACTGCCTCACACACACACACACACACACACACTGCCTCACACCCATTAGACCCTCCCACGCTGACACACCCTGCTCTCTCATGCTGCCTCACACACACACGTTGCCTCACACACACACTGGCACACACACACACACACTCTGCCTCACGCCCATCAGACCCTCCCACGCTGACACACCCTGCTCTCTCACGCTTCCTCACACACGTTGCCTCATACACACACTGCCACACACACACACACACACACTCTGTCTCACGCCCATCAGACCCTCCCACGCTGACACACCCTGCTCTCTCACGCTTCCTCACACACGTTGCCTCATACACACACTGCCACACACACACACACACACACACACTGCCTCATGCCCATGAGACCCTCCCACACTGACACACCCTGCTCTCTACCGCCGCCTCACGCACGCTGCTGCCTTCCTCGCTTCTCTTCCTGTCCTCGTGGGCTACGAGCCCCTTTACCTGGGGCGGGGGTGGGAGCCCGCGAGAGCTGTGGCCGCCAGTGCGGAGGAGCGTTTGTGCGTGTGTGTGTGTGTGTGTGTGTGTGTGAGAGAGCCGGAGTCAGTGCCAGCACCGGGCCGGGCCCCTGGCTCCTCCCTGCCAGGCGCCTTCCCAAACCTCAGCAGCCCAGACCGGGGCCCCCTGCCTGCTCCGCGGAGCTGTGGGTCCAGGAAGCGCCCAGTGGGCATCCCCTCGGCAGCGCTGACCCATGTCTCCCGAAGCTCTGCGGCCGGATTCTGGGCAGCATCAGCACTTTCTGGCTGAAAGCTTGGCGGCCGCCCAGAGGTGGTGTGACCGGAGCACCATCCCGGGAGGCTCGTTTGCTTCACACCGGGGCCTGCTACACCCGGGCCCGGTTGTGGACAGAAAGTATCACTGGCCAGAGCCATGGGGGGTCCCTGGGGGGTGGTGGACCTTGTCGGTTTCCTCTACACCTGCCAATTCACAGGGGCCAAGCGCACACACACTGCTTTGGAGGTCAGTCAAGAAGGACATTCCGGAAAGTGCCGGGACTTGTGGGGGAGGTTGCTCAAAGGGCTGAGTATAAGCTTTGCTGGTGGGAGGGGGGCCCAGGTTGCGTCCACCACCCCCCAGAAGTGACCCCCCCAAGTACCGGGCCTGGACTGGCCCCTGTGCACTGCCAGCTGTGGCCAGTACCCCGCTGAGTGAAGCCAAGGGGGTTTGTTTTCAGAGAGCCCCAGGAAGAGGGGGTTGGAGAGGGCAGAATGTTCCAGGCGGAGGCCAGCGTGATGGGACAGCGGAGAGGGTATATGCCTCGCACATGGCTGACCTGGGTGCTGACCATCCCCCGCCCCCCGGCATCCCATATGGTCCCCTGAGAACTGCCAGGAGTGATTCCTGAGCACAGAGTCAGGAGTCACACCTGAGCATCGCCAGGTGTGGTCTCCTCCAAAAAAAAAAAAAAAGAAGAAGAAGAATATTCCAGGTGGAGAGACCACCATGGAGAGATGCCCCCCGGGGTGCTTGGGTGTGACAGGAATGTTCTGGGAGCCACATGGCCCCACACAGGCTGTAAGCCATGCACAGTCACACCAGTGTATGGGGGGGATTGTGGTGTGTGTGGGGGGGGATACTAGATTCTAGCCACTAGGCTGTGGGATTGCAAAGATAGGGGCTGTGTAAAATTTGGAAAAGAAAATCTGTAATGTCAGGGGTGGCTGGGGGGGGGGGGCGCATAATTTGCACCAGAACCCCAGCCTCCAAGGAATGGCGCTAGCTGCAAGGGCTCTAGAATGAGTGCTCAGGGGGAGGAGGAAGCATGACCCTGTACAGACAGTTCCGCATGGGGGACACTGTGGGGTGCAGCCCCCGGAAGGAAAGCGGGGTGGGGACCGGAGGCTGAAGACTCAAGTGACTTGAGGACCAGAGTGATAGTCCAGCGGGGAGGGGCTCGCCTGGCATATGGCCAACCTGGGTTCCATCCCCTGCACCCTGGATGGTCCCTCCAGTCCCGCCAGGAGCGATGCCTGAGCTCAGAGCCAGGAGTCAGCCCTGAGCACCGCGTGGGATTGGATCATCTATGGCTGGAGGGAAAGCCTGCCTGGGGTGGGCACAGGCGGCCGGGAGGGGTGGGAGCCGGTCCTCAGGCCCAAAGAGAAGGGGTCATTTTTTAACACACACACACACACCCTCACCTTTAATCAGCAAATTTCAACTGCAGTGACAATGATGAGCTAGAGCAGAAATATTTCGTGTCAGGAACAAACAAACAGCAGCGGCCACTCAGAGAACATCATCTCGCTTTCACAGGGCAGTGCTGAGCCTGTGGAGAGGGTGGGGAAGGGAGGGCAGCTCAGGCTGGCCGAGCAGGTGAGGGCATCACAAGCCTCTAAATGCCATCCCTGGCACTCCCTGACCATCATTAGCTGAGGCCCTGGCGGCCTTCAGCAGGGCGGGCCAGAGCAGCGCTGTGTCGGGGACCCCTCTGCAGGGTGGGGGTCTCTGCATTGGGGACCCGTCTGCAGGCAGGGGGGCTCTGCCTCCTTCCTCTTGCTGCATCCAGGCCAGACAGCGCCCGCGTCCAGGCCCTTCATGGCAGATTTGGGAGGTGGATGTGTGCTGAGCTTGCAAAGGAAACCAATGTTCGCAAGTGATGTTTGCAATCCTCCCAGCCCACAGCTTAAGAAGATCAGAGGGGGTCGGAGCAACAGAACAGCGGGCAGGGTACTTGCCTTGCATGCAGCCAACCCGGGTTTGATCCTTGGTACCTCCTCGTTCATTCCACCCCCATCCCAGCCCTGTCAGGCATCACCCCTGGGCACAGACCCAGGACTAAGGTGTAACCCCTTCAAAAGAAACCAACAAGAAGTAGTTGCTGTTTCAACCCAGTGCTGGATTCAACCTGCAAACCAACTTGTTTAATTCAGTCTTCTGTGCATCAGTGGAAGGGGCTTACATACATAGTTTTCTTTTGATTTTCATTTTTTTCTGTTTTTGGGTCATACCCGGTGATACTCAGGGATCACTCCTGGCGGTGGTTGGGGGGACCCTATGGGATGCCAGGAATTGAACCTGGGTTGACTGCATGCAAGGCAAATGCCCTCCCCACTGTACTATCGCTCTGACCCTGATTTTTTTTTTTTTTGCTTTTTGGTTCACACTCAGTGTTGCATAGGGGTTACTCCTGGCTTGTACACTCAGGAATTACTCCTGGAGGTGCTTAGGGGTCCATATGGGATGCTGGGAATCGAACCTGGGTCAGCCGCGTGCAAGGCAAACGCCCTCCCCGCTGTGCTATTGCTCTAGTCCCCTTGTTAGTACTTCTTAAATGGCTTTTTTTTCTTTTCTTTTTCTGAGCTGAGGACTTACTCCTGGCTCTGTGCTCAGGAATCATTCCCGGTAGAGCTCGTAGTAAAAATGTGGTGCTGGGGATTGAACCCAGTTCTGCTGCATGCAAGGCAAATGCCCTGACCACTGTCCCATCTCTCCAGTCCCTCAAATAAGCCCTTCTCCCTGCCAACTTCCTGTTTTTTTCCTCTTCTGTTTCATTTCATTGGACTTGACTCATTCGCATGGGATCTCTTCTGTCCAGCTCGATCTTATCAGGAATCTGCCTCCTGTGAACGCCGGCCTGGAAGCAGCTGCTGGTTCTGTTGTTCTTCCACATTCTTCTTTTGTTCTCCAGTTCATTGATTCATTCCAGAACTGTTTCCATGACCTGCCATCTTGCTTTGGTCCTTGGAATGCTCAGTCACCCCCTGATTGCGGCCTGGTCCATTCCTTCACGGAGCCTCCATGGAGTGGGTGAACCACTGTGGTCTGCTCAGACCTGGCTCCTGCCTCCCTCACCCCTACAATCTCCCGTAGACACGCCGCCCCCTCCCTGCCC